CACAACCTCAATATATATTGTTTGCTAGTAGTGATTCTCCTACTGGTGTATTCACTGCCAAACAACTGCGTAAAAGATCTGGCTTTTGATTCGCATATAAAGCAAATGCAAATGACATAACAGAATATGTAGATCCAGGATCAATCAAAATACGAGCATTTCTATCAAAAATAAACAACATGCCCATGATAAAATCTGGTGACTCCTCTGCCGCTTGCTGAGTCATAGAAAAAACCTTGCCTTAGGTCTTCAGTCCTCCTGCCTGCCCTTTTGATTTTGTACCACTACCGCTTGTGATATTAGACAGGGCCACTTTTTGTACCTACTTTGTTAGCTGAATCATCTCTCTAAGTCTAATTCTGTCTTGTACTACCAGCACTCTGCTAAGGAAATATCTTCAGTACCATGCCACTCTCCTGTGATAGAACTAGACAATTTCTTCTGATGTGTCCGACTTGACCACAATGGTAACAGACTCCGCTCCCTTTGAACTTTAAACACGTGCCAAGATGAGGTCTTCTACATAATTGACAATAAGGAAGTCTAGTATTAGTAAAACTCTCGCCTTGTCTTGGAGTAAATAGTCTCTGGGAAGAACCCTAAGTATAAGTACAACTGGTTGTTGTATAGTACTGGGACTGAATCTAGGACCCTGACTTCCCCGTGATCGAGATTTGAATTGACCCAAACTGGAGACACCAGGTTGAAATCCTCTACTGTCCTTTTGAGGTAGTCTATAGTTAGAAGCACTCACCATTGTCTGACTACCGCTTGCCCTGAACATTGTTTGTTCTTTACCACTTGGCCTATTAGAAATGCTCTTTTCTACTCTCAAAGCTGATTCCACCAATTTGCCAAATTCATTCCAGCCTGCAACTGTTACTACTGACCTGATTTCTTTCCTTAACCCATTTTCAAACCGTCTGCATTTATCAATTTCGTTGCTTACCAAAACTTGGACATACTTTGAAAGTTCAATAAATTTCACCTGATATTCTACAATTGTCATCTGCCCTTGTACTAGTTTCAAAAATTCCTCCTGCCTTGCATCTTTATAGGATCAAGGATAATAGGCATTGTAAAAGATATGACGAAAATCTGTCCAAGTAATGATGGAAGGGTCTAGATACGTGCTCCGTACCGACTGCCACCAATCATATGCGCCCTCCTCCAATAAGAAGGTGACAAGACACAACTTCCGATCGTCTGAGCAACTCATAACATCAAATACCCTCTCTATCTTGGTCATCCATGTCTACATAACTGCAAGATCGGCTGTGCCAGTGAACACTTTAGTCCCTAACTTTGTAGCCCTTTCAATACTAAAATCTCTGTCAGTATTACGCATAGCAGATGCAACGGTAATAGCAATTCTTTCAACAGCAATAAGATCAGTTCCAATCACATTTCCCTGTCCCTATTGTTCAGGAGGCTGGTGAACTGATTCGTCTACTCTCTTGGGCTCTCTCAATTCATCTCTATCAGGAGCAATGTGAGACTGGGGCAACATATCTTGCAGCCTTCGTGTTTCGGCACCACGAGGCGTGACTCACCTATAATTATGCATGATATGCTAAACATCAAAATGTATGCATGTACAATGCTAACTCATGAACTCTAATGCATGCTATGATATCAAACTGACGCACCCCGCCTCGTATAAAACCACTAGATCCGGACGTGGCATGCACCGATGACAGATACCAACTGAAATCGGACCCACCATCAAGATTACTGCAAATACAGTATATCACTTTTTATACATCATTTTTCTAACAGAATTTCGGCATTATCTCCCCTATAAACAGAACTAACCAACCTGTGATCAATTTCATACAAACCCCAAACTATAGCACAGCACAATAAAGATAAGTCGAAATCTCAACCTTTACCAAGAAATAAAATGAAATATACATATGGATACAAAATATATAGTGAGCTCCATAACTATTTACAAGTAATGCAAAATCATATCTAGACATGAACATGCGTCCCAAAACAGTGACTACATGTTCTATGAAGTGAGTCATACTAACAAACTATATTAACATCAGCTGATAACCATGCTATAATCTCATCACATCAAACGTGCTGAAAAATTCACCAAAAATGTACCCTCTGACTGAAATATATAATCCGCCCCTCGGGCTAAGAACTTTCATCACGGGCCTTTGGCCCCTCCGTGAACGAAAGTCGGTCTCAAAGACCTCTCATAATCAATTCTAGAACACGGTCAAGGCCCCTCAGTGAACTATATATACACGGTCGAGACCCCTTCATCCCCGGTCCAAGACTTCTCAGTGTAGTATAGAACACGACCAAGGCCCTTCAGTGAATTAGAAAAAAAATATAATCACGGGGACTTTTCTAATCGATATCAAAATCATACCTCATATTCCAATTCACAATGTACAGTATACGATCTTTAAAATCTCACATGTATCACAATAAAAGATATTTCCATAATAACCATATAATTCGAACACATAATTGCATATAATTGCACATATTTTAACAATATACTTAATTTATAAATACTTTAAAAATATTTATATATTTTTCCACTCACAGAACTATGTATACCAAAATCAATTCGATTGGTACACTATCCCGATATCCGTATCGTCGCCTGAAATATAATATAATTTTTAAATCAACAATTAACTAATTTAAGTAATTTCAATAATTAAATAGGCGATACCCAAACATAATTATTTCACGTTTAGGGGATTTCTAAAGTCTCTTTAATTAGTAAAACTAATTTTTCTTTCATTTTACTCAATTTCATAGTTTATTATACTTAACCCCTTCAATAAAATTGAATTTAATCTAACAACTTAACAACTATAAAATCAAACATAACCTTTCAATAAGTAACTTTTACTTACCTTTCAAAATTGAGAAATTCAAATATAATAGTATAACCCACTTAATTCCTAACACGTTGGCAAGTTTTCCCTTTTTTTCTTTTTTTTCTTCCTCTTTTCCCTCTTTTTCCTTTCTCTTTTCCTCTCTTCTTCTTCTCTGCACCGGGTGGATGTAATGTGTATGTTAAAGATTTGGATTACACACACATATATAATTACATTGGGAATGGGTTGGCTTGGCATAGCTGCCTGCCGTTTTATATTTCTTTTTAATTTTTATTTTTTTTTAATTTGACTTTTCTTTTGAATTAATTAAAGTTTACAGATGATAAATCTCAACCATTTGTAAATGGTGTCCTTGCTCAACTAGTTTCAATATTTAGTTCTTTGAAAATATAGTTTACAATGAAGACTTGTCGCTTCTGAATATGACTATTTTTTTTTTTTTTTCTATCATGTTAAATCAATTCAAACCAAATGGATGAACAAAATAAGTTGGAAGGAAAATAATCTAGGTATTTGGGCGAGTGTAGTTATCTAAAAAGATGGAGGTAATCTACTACATTACTAAGGGACGAGGCCATGCTTTTGTCTTTCACTATAAACATGCCATTCACTTCCCTTTCTACCAACTGGGAGTCACTGCTGAAGTTGAATTTTTCATATTCATTTCCTCCAGCAAGCAAAGTCTTGCCAAAAGAGTTTCATTCACCCACATCATTGGTGTCTATAAAACCAAATTATCATTGTGCAATTTAGAGTGTTACCTTTTGGGCTTCTTAAAAAACTTCTGGCCTCTGAACCAGCTTAGCCTTATGAACCATCAATGAAAAAATTCCAGTTGGTATTTGAACACCTATTCAACCCCCCCCCCCCCCCCCCCCCCGGGGCCTATTTCCCCCCCCCCCCCCCCCCCATGGTTGTTGACATCTATCTATGACTTGCGCATGAGATTTTACTGTTGTGAGAAACTAAGTTCTTATTTTTAATAGTACCCCTCACATTCAACATGCACTGGGCTTACCAATTGAATTTTTAACTCAACGAACAAGGATCTATTCAAGCCCCATGAAGAGAAATTTGGGGATGATGCTGATTATGAAATCAACTTGACCAAGTATAGTATGCACAATTACTCCTACGTGCAAAATTTGAAAGGATATTACTAAGAAAAACAATAGGACGATAAAACTCTACGAGTCATATATGGTTTTTGTGCTCGACTAGTCCCCATATTTAATTCACTGAAAATATAATTTACCATGAAGACTTGCCGCTTCTGGATATAATAAGTTTCACTTTTCTAACATGTTAAAGCAATTCAAACTAGATGGATGAACTAAATAAATAGAAGGAAAATAATCCAGGTATTTGGGCAAGTATAGGTTTTTCAAAATGATGTAGAAAATCTATTGCATTACTAAAGTACGAGGCCATGCTTCTCTCTCACTATGACCTAGCTGTTCACTTCGCTTACTACCAACTGGAAGTCACTGCTGAAATAGATTTTTTCATATTCATTTCCTGTAACAAGCAAAATCCTGCCAAAATAGTTGTGTTCACCCACATTGTTGGTGTCTATAAAAACAAAATATGAGTGTGCAATTTAGGGTGTTACCATTTGGTCTTCTTAAAAAACTTCTGGCCTCTGAACCAGCTTAGCCTAACAAACCATCAAAGAAAATATTCCAGTTGGTATTTCTACAGGTTTTGAATCGACCCGTCACTACAAAAAATATGGCCTCCAGCGACCAACGAAATTGGTCGGTAAAGGTATTTTTTTGGTCGTTAAAGATTTTTAGTGACCAAAAATATGTGGCCGCTGCATGGTCGCTAATTCACTGTCGGTGAAAATCTTTAGTGACCAACAAGAAGTGGTCACTGAATGATATACCTTCAGCAACCACCAAATGGTCGGTAAAAAGGCTTGTTTTTGGTTAACAAGTTGGTCAACTTTCATCCTTTTGCAACCAAATGTTCGTCGATAAATGAAATGGTTAAAAAAAGAAAAAAGAACTGCATTTCAGCAGTCAAACAATGATGCTCGATTTGAGGTAAAAAGTTGGTTAATAAGTATTCTCTTGGGACCAAATGATGGTCGGTAAGACGATAGTAAAAAATTAATCAATATCTAACTACCAATTTTTGGTCGGAAAAGATGCAACATTAGCAACCAATATTTAGTTGTTACAACCCATCACAAACAAAATGAGTTCTAGACTAGGAAATTGTGAGGAACAAACTTCACCACCGCTAGCTCCAATCACAAACAAATCAAAGTCCTTGCGAGTCTCCTGCCCACCAGCAATGCCTAGCTTCCCATCAAAAAGCATCTTCCTTGTCACAATGTTACGTTACGTTATACATAAACAAAATCCACAGGCAAGCAGTGAGAAATCAGAATATGATAACAAGAACTTTCACAACCAAGAAAATCAAAAAAATAAAAAATAAAACAAAGACCTGATCAAATGTAAATTAAGATAAACTAATTGCACAATTTTATAAGCAAAATGTTTTCGATTTTGGATAAAAGTGAATAAGAACAACCAATATAATTTTTTTTTTTTAAATTTTAATATCCATGATTGCTTAAACTCGAGAAAGAGGGAAAAAATAAGATTACAACCAATATAATAGTTTACTCTTTCCTTTTTTATCATATGACCAGGTTGATAGCTCTTCATTTAACAATCCACCTACAAACAAGAAAACACCTATCTAAAGTTTGTCATTCATCTAAAATTTGGAAATCGCATAAGCAATTACGAATGCATACCTATAAAAACTATTTTGTTGATTCTGTTTTCTCCGTCTTTCCATTTATGAGTTGGAACAATCTCATATAGTTCCCTCACAGCCTGCCATAGTCAATAGACCATACCAGAAAGGAAAAACAATTGACTTGTTAATCAATTGATTAACTAATTTTGCAAAACCAACTTCGTCCTACAGAGGATATATACAAATAGTTACATTTGTATGAACAAACAGCCTTATAACAACAAGATAAATATTTTTATGCATACATGTCAACTTAACTTTATTTTACTATAAATAAATTAAGAAAAATAAGCTTCCCAAGAGATAACTATATATCCATTGGAATTCATTTTAGTGGAGGATACTATCTATATGATTGTAGTTTTTGATAAAAGATAAAGGATTTGGGTAAAATTATCACTTCATATAGATATTAGTTACTAGAGAATTGAGATTCAATTGATATCAAAAAGAAAACAATTGATCAAGTCCTATAGAATAAACCAAACCCAATAAGTATAAAAACTTAAGATCTTCCACCAACTCTAAGATTTAAATTTACATTAAAATAAAAGTATTGGATCCCGTAAATGATAAATAAGTATTTAGGCACAAAGAATATTACTTATGATCATTGATCAGTGCATTATTCTGTACTTTTTTGCACAGTAGCAATTAGTTAATAAGAAGAAATCAGATAAATAAACAGAATAAACACATCTGACAATTTACAGGATCCAATACTTTAAAATAATTTAGAGGATCCAATAAGGAATATGTGAATCATGAAGCAATTAAATCAATTATTCAACTTCTAAAAACTGCTATACAGGAAAGAGATGAAGTCAAAATTACCTCAACAGACAACAGGAATATGTCTCTGCCTTTAACTTCTCTGGCGAAAGTTTTACCCGTGCTTCCTCAATCCGCACGTTCAAGTCGATAGCCTGGTTGGCCACTTTTAAAACTTAGCTTGAATTCGAGTCTCGAAAAAAGATTGACGAAAAAATGAACGAGTACTTCAGATTTTCGACGAGAGATTAACGGCAAATATGAATCGTGGTATAGGGAATAGAGAAAATTCTTTTGGTGAAGAATGAAGATGATTGCCGAATGGAGACTCAGAGTCCAGAGAAAAAACACGTCACTTGACTCTCTCACGTTCCTCCATTTTAAGGATACAATTCCTAAAACCATCTCCACTAGTGAACGTTTCACTCTTCTTTTAAAACCCACGTGGTTAAACACGGCGTCATACTTCAATTTTAGCCGGCCACCAAAAATACCGTAGAAGATTTAGACTAGAAGCAGACTCAGCTTGAACACACAAATTGAACCTTTGAGGGTTAGGGTAGGAGAGATTTGAGATTGAGTGGAGACTTTTCAATTGGGAGTCATTGGGTTGGGTATAAGTATTGTGCTGAATTTGTAGATTATTTTTCTTTAGGGAAAAAATTACATTTCAGATGTTATGTTTATCCCAATTCAAAAATCAGGTATATAGTTTAAAAATTCAAAATCGGGTATGTATTTAATTAATTAAAAATACTTATTAAATAAAGATAATAAAGTCACAGTTACATGATTAACGATTACATATTCATAATTATAGGTCACAGATTTATTTACTGGTCACATATCGTCAAATTAATTGGTCACAGATTGTTTCATGGTCATAAATAAAAAAATTTGTAGGTCACATATTATTTTAAGGTGCATATCATTCAAATTACATGTCATATTTTATCCATGGATCACATAAGTCACAGTTTATTAGTCACAAATTAATTTTTAGTCACAGACGCCTAATATTTAGTTACAAATCAGCCAAATAGTTGGCCACAAATGTCTAAATAGTTGGTCACAAATGCCCAATTGTTGGTCACAGACACCCACCCATCACCGTCATTGCCACGGCAACAACCACAACAACAAAACAACAATAGTTGAGCACCACCACCACTTCACCAAAATGAGCATCATCACCTCCTGAAACCACCATCATGAGTACCACCAAAATGAGCATCATCGCCAAAACAACTACCACCAGAAACCACTACAACCACCAAGACCAGAACCCAATAATACACCACCTCCCAACCTCACCAACACCACCCAAATCACCACAGCCAACACAAACACCGTTGCTACCACCATCGCCGCCGTCGTCCTACCATTAGCCCCACAGAATAATCCATAAAAGTGCATCTAGCATGACACCTCACCAATTTATTCATCATTCATTTTCCTAGTGGTTTCTCTCACCTCCACTGTCATTTAGAAGCTCATACAGAGAAATAGCTAGGCGTGGAAGAGAGTTTTGAACTTCCATAGAAATGGAGGAAAGCCCTCTATTGTTATTGCTTCCTTACAAAATCATCACACCTGAAAAATCCCACCAGTTAAACAACCAAGATTTTCATCATTGTAGCACCTTGAGGCGCAATGGCATGAAGCTAGATTCAGATTCACCGATTCTTCTCCAGCAGGGGCATGTGGGTTCCGCCTCTTCTGTCGCTTCCACACTGCTGGAGGTGTCATTGGGAGCTCTGGCTCTGTCATTAAGCGACTTGAGGCACTTACTAGGATAAAATTCAGATCGAGAAAGGCCTCTCCAACTTTCACAAGCGCACGATCCAAAATAATTTAGGAGCAAATCACGGTTTTGAAAGAGCACATTCCGGCTTGTACAAAACCCCAAGAGACAGTGAGGTTGTGTCATCATGAATCGCCCCCGCTGGTTGCAACGATGGTGATTTATGGTAGAGAGAAGGGAGATAATATAGATTGTAGAGAGAGAGAGAGAGAATAGGGTTGGAATTGAATTTGGGTGAAATATTTAATATTTAAATTATTAAATCAAAACTTGATTTCTGAATAAAATAACTTCGACCATTATTTTTGAATTGTGATGTTTAAAGCCCTGGTATTATGTAATTTCCACTTTTCTTTATTTCATCATTTAAAGTTTTGAACTTTAACATTTAACTGAAATAAATAAACATGATTACAACATGAAATTTTGAAATTGAAATATTATCCTCTCTTTCGAAGGAAAATGAAGAGGAACCATAGCCTTCAAAATAGCGTCTACTCTAGTCTCTAGCAATCATCGTCATCATTCCATGTTGTATTACTATTTCTCTTTTTTCTTTGTAATTGAGATGCCATGTTCTTGTTGAAAATGACCAATAGTGAAACTTGGGATAGATCATTTTGGTTTTGAATTATTGTAGTCCATTCACATTACTACAACATATTAGAGCACTCGTACAGATAGATAGACATGGACTGCCCATTATTAGAATATGAATTGTAATTTTATTTTTAATTTATTCTTGTTTTTTTTTTACTTTAATTGCATTAGATCTTATTGTAAAGGAAGTAATACTTCCACTTTTATTGCTTTACATTTGTTCTTTAACATTACTTTTATTATAAGGGAAGTAGTCTTCCTCATTTCTTGCTTTCATTATTTTCAAATGTAACCACAGTAGCCTCAACCACAAGTAATGGCAAATTAATAAAATTTCAAAGGTACCACCCTCCTTTAAATAAAAAAAAAATTGTTCTATCAAGAATATGTAGAGAGTATGGTCGATTATGGTCGCCAAAATCATATATTTAATCAGCAACCATGAAAGTTGGTCACTATAAAAGTCAAAAAAGTTGAAAAAAATAAATGGGAATAATGGCGTCAAGTATTCCAGCAACCAAAAAATTTGGTAGCTGAAAGATATACACCAACGACCAATATATGGTCACTAGAACTTTGTATTAATCACCAACCAAACAATTTGGTCGCTATAGAAGTCAAAATTTTGAAAAGAATAAGCTGGAGTGGCGCCATGTGTTCCAGCAACCAAGTACATTTGGTTGATGAAAGGCATACACTAGCGACCAATATATGGTCGCTTAAACCTTGTTAGCGACCAAAAATTTGGTCATAGTAGAAGTCAATGTTTAAAAGAACAAGCGGGAGTGATGGCGCCAATTCTTCTAGCGACCAACAAAATTTGGTTCCTAAAAGGCTTACACAATGACCAATGTTTGGTCACTGAAACCTTGGACTAATCACGGACCAACGAATTTGGTCGCTATAAAAGTCAAAATGCTGGAAAAATAAGTGGGAGTGATGGCGCCAAGTGTTCCAGTGACCAAATAAAATTTGGTTGCTAGAAGTTATACAACGAGCAACTATACTATGGTCGCTGGAACATTGTACTAATCAGCAACCATTTTCTTTGGTCGTTGAAGAATCTAAAAAACGTGGAAAAAAACAAGAGGGAGTAATTAAGCTAAGTCTTTCAGCGACTGAACTAATTTGGTCGCTAGAACATTCTACTAGCGACCACTAGTTGGTTGTTGAATATTCAGCGACCAACATTTGGTGGTTGCTAAAAATGATAACCAGCAACCACTATGTGTTTGCAAAAAGAGTTCCAAAAAATATTTCAATTTTAGTAGACCAACGCCCTACACCGACCAATTTGTGGTCGGTGAAAGTATATTATAGTGACCACTTTTTTATAGTCGTTGGAGCTCATTGCTGGATAGTCGTCAAACTTGGTGATGAAATTGGCTAGAGCTTGTCCCTTAGTTGCAGAAAAAGCCTTGAAATTAATTTTAAATTGACTAAGCTCTATGTATTAAGATTTGGGGTTCCATTTTAAAAAGATCTATCTTGTTAAAAGTAGTCCAAGACCTTATAAGTTGATCTATGTTTCATCTTTAATTGATGTGGGATTTTTTTCCTTAATATGCCCTGCAAGATAGTGGCTCGTTTGAACAGACCAATCTTGAAAGCCATGTGCTCATTAATTGAGTCTTAAGCAGATCGAGTCACTCGTTGAGTTTAATGATCTCTGATAGCATATTAAAATTTGAAATTTCATTTTAAAAGGTCAATCTTATTAAAAGAAGTAGTCCAAGACCTCATAAGTTGGTCTATGTTTTCATCTTTAATTGATGTGGGATTTTACCCCGTAATATTATGGCCCATTTCATTAGCTTCCCCGATGCAACAGTTCTTTTTGTTATTTTAACTGGCAGTTCGTTGATGCTGTGAGCCTGAAATTAGGATCGGAGCTTTCATGATGTAGTGACCATTGATTACGCCAGTTGTTTCAGTATTTGGGTGTATCTAACCTATGCATCATGGACTGCTTTTTTGACATAATATTTACAATGTTGATTGATTCTATTAAATTTGCGTTTTCTCATGTCATATTAATTCTGGTATTTTCCTAAATTAGTATTCTCAAAAATGTTCTATTACCCATCCGTTATCCAGTATGATACGTCAGTGAACTTGGTAATTTGACTCTGATCAAAATGAATTAGACTCTTGCGTATTTATCATTATGTTATTAATCAGAAACTTTTGAAAGAGAATAGTTCTGTTAGGTTAGTGTCGGTCAAGACTCAAGAGCTTGCGCATTCATGTTTTTAATCTAAATTTATCTGTTGCAATTAATTTTTATATATTTGGCTTTAAAATTTTGGACACACTACCTATTCAAGCCCCCTCCTTGGTTGTTGTCGCGCGTGTATAGTTCTCAAGTAAATAAGGATGAATTTAATTGATTAGTTAGCATTTATAGGACTTTGGTTTGCATATGCAATTTCTCTAAGTTAATTTGATTCAAGAAAATAAATAATGTATATGGAATATGATAATCTAACTGGAAAGAAATGAAGTGACATATATTTAATCAATGATAACTTTAAGTACCATAACTTCTCTTTCTGGTGAAGTTTAAAACTATTATGTTTGTATACACTTAAATCCATGATTAAAATAAAAAATAAAAAAATGGAGCGCAAATATATACATAACTTAGAGAGGATTAACTCGTGCTCTTAACAAAGAGAAAAAAGTGGTGATAGGAAGCATCTCTTTACGAGAAACTAAGTTTCGATTTTTAGTACTACCCTTCACGTTCAACATGGATGTACCAATCGAATTTTTAACTCAATCAACAAAGATCAATTCAAGCCATGAAGAGAAATTTGGGAATGATGCTAGTTATGAATGTTGGAGGAAAGATGGGTTTACTAACTTGGATTGGCTAAGGCTTTTAAGAGGACAACACTAATAGGAAGAAGTAAGTGAAAAAGGAAACTTGTATTTCTCAAATTCAAGACTTTACAAACTTTTTTGGCTTGTTACAAAAATGGAGGGCACTACCCCTTTATATAGTGTTTACAAGAAGATTCTAGTCCACACATTTTCTAGAGATACCTAGACCATATATCAAGATATTTTCCTAGAATTCTCTAGATATTCTTTATAAAACTACATATCTTACTTAGATATTTATATAGATTTTTCTAGTAGATATTTATATAGATTTTTCTAGATAATGCTTCTAGAAATGCTATGCAT